AAGCACACAAGAACCAACACAGGGCAGAGAGTTAGAAACTCATCACCTCATCACCATATTTTCTTCTCTCCATCTCTCTTATCCCACCATCACCACTTTTCTCTTGCATACCCACAACCGCCGACGACGCAAGGGAACGACAACAACCTTCTTCTTCATAGTTTCTTCCAAGTCCACTAGCACTCCGACGATCTCCGTGCATTTTAAGTAAGTATCAAATACGTTGGAAAGGGAAAGACTTTGAAAATCATGCTTTTAATTTGAAACAGATTCTTTTGTTTCTATCAAAAGATTTTTTTTTTTTTAAGAAAAAAATGTTTTTTTTTAAGAAAAAGTTTTTTTTTTACTTTTTTTTTTAAAAAAGAAAATGTTTTTAGTAARGAAAAAAATCTTCTAAATTAATTTTAAATAAGTTTTTGAAAATAAAATAARGATTTTGATATTTTAAAATTTGTTTTAAAATAAAAGGTTTTCTTTTTCTAATAAAGAAGAGTTTTTTAAACGAAATAAATATAAACTTAATTTTATTTTAATAAAATATTTTACTATAAAATTTTGGTTAAAATAAGTTGAAAAAATAGGAGTTTTATAAAATAAATCTTGTTTAAAAAAATTTGGATTCTTTTACATTTGGATTCAAAGTTTAAATTTGGATTCTTTTTATTGAAAATGTAGTTTTTATTTAAAATGATTTTTTTTACAAGGTTTATATTTTTTTGTGTTTCCTTTGTTTTATTTTTTAATTAAAAAAGAATCTTCTGCTGCAGGATTTTAAAGGAGGAGGTAAAAACAGAGTATTTTAGAATAAAATCTCATTTAAATTTCTTTTAATGGTTTGGTGGTTATGGTTTTGAAAAAATCTTAACAAAAAAATCAGTTTTTTGTAAATAAGTTTTGTTAAAGTAAATTTGACTTTGTTTTTAAATAAATTTTTCTTTCTTTTAAATAATTTTGTTAATTTCGAAATAAATAAAAAAATATATTTTTTTTGTTTTAATTTAACAAAATTCGTAGTTTTTTTTTAGTTTAAAAAAATAAATTATAACTTTTGTTTGTGTAAAAGAATATGATGTTTACATCTTAAGATGTTGGCAAAGTGGTAAGATGTTCGTTTTTTAATGTACAAGGCACCTATCTTTGACCAAGAGGTCGTGAGTCACCCTATCCCACATCACTACAAGAAATCTGAGATTCGGCGACGAAATCTTCGGCGACCAAATCAAATTTGGTCGTCAAACCAACTTTCG